GAGGGAACACGGGCTCGCTTACCTGCTGCTGATGGCCCCACTTGCTTGCATCACAGACTCCAAAACAGGTTCTACCTAAACAAACACATGCATAGTAAACCAAAACGAACTATCAGTCTAAAATGTTCCACTTCATTTTTCTCATCTTTATAATTCATGCAACGTGTCATGAGTGAGCACTCAGGTGCACGAAGCGATTCTCCTCCAGCGCTGCAGTTTGCCACGATGGAACAAGGACTGTGCGCACTCTGAACTGGTGTTATTCCATCGTTCTTGTGACTTAATTCAACCATATGTTCCTCCTTGTATCTTTGTATACAGCCTCTAATTTTGCCATTTGCCTTTTGTCATGAGAGGCCTGTTTCCTTTGAGTCCTCTCTTAAAACTTGCCAAATACAGACGTTTTCCAGATCCTCCTCTGCCTGCGCAGCCGTGAGGGCAAACAAGGAAGAAGCTCGGAAACCGGCAGAAGCAGATCCACAACTTCAGCACGTCAAGGATTGTTTTGGTCTTGCTCACAAGACGAGGAGGCCCCCCTCGGCCACCCCCAGAAAGACATCAGGAACAGGCAGCCCCCCCATGCACTTGGCCGGGCGGGGGCCAGAGCCACACACGTGCAAGTGTTTCCGTCAAAGCACTGAAGCGAGCAGTCGGCGTCCCTCGTCCGGCACGGCCGGCGCTCCTCCCTGAACCGCCGCGGGCCGTTACCCATGCAGACCCTGCCCTTCGTCCTCCCGGGAGGAGCCCAAGGCAGCTCACCGGTCCCCCCCATTTCCCCCTTGAGGCACGCGGCTGAGCAGCAGCCCCTGGCGACGCCGCCCCGTGAGCCCCACGGCTGGGCGGGGGCTTGAACCCAGCGCCCCAGAGCCCTTCGCCCGCAGCGCGCGCTGTGCCGCACTGGCCGCAGGCCGCCTGAGCCGCCGGGAGCCGGCATGCGCCCCTTCCCCGCCGGAGGACGCAGCCTGGGGGGGGCGGCAGTTGCGCCACGGTTGTGCCTGCCGGCAGGCTGCGCTCACAGGGCGCCCTCCTCCAGGGTGTGAGCCGGGAGGCCCTCCTGAATGGGCCGGCCCAGGGCGAGGGCGAGCGGGAGCCTGCCTCTCTGAAAGGGGAGCTGGGGCAGCGGTGGGGCTGGCCCCTTTCGGCCCGCCCGTGAATGAAAGGCAGTCAGGAGCGGGCGGTGAAGTGAGGCAGCTGCCCAAGCAGAAGCACAAATCCGGGGCACAGGGGAGTGACTCGGGGTGCCGCCCCCCACTCTGGTCAAAGCGGCTGTTGTCGAGCTGGGAAGGGGGCAAAAAGGCAACCCACATGCCTCGCGGGGTGGAGCAGAAGCGGCACCACCTGGGTCTGGCGGGCGCAGATGAAAAGTGGGGGGGGCATGGCGGAGGTGCCGTGGGAGGAGGTGGGGAGCCTTCCTTTTTCACCCCAAATACTGCAGCCCAGCCGCCTCAGGGAGCATCATGGAAGTCCCTCGAGCTGCAGCTGAGCCGTGGCGCTCCCTCCCGCGGGACAGGGCGGCGTTGGCCACGTGGATGGCTGCCAGCGGGGGCAGGACAAACGCAAGGAGGGCAAGGCTGCTAGTCCTCAGCACCACGTGCTGCCTCCAGCGTGTCTCTGCGCCAATGCACGAGGGCAGCCTGGAGAGTGAGCTGCAGTGGACAGGGAGCTGCCCCAGCCACCCCCCCCCCAGCCCAGCCGTGCCTCCTGCTCCCCTCACCTGCTGCGGGTAAGGAGGCCTCACCAGGCCTCCTGGCGTCTGCAAACACAGAGGAACGGAGGTGAGCAAGGGCCGCCCCTGGCCATGGCAGTGGGGGGCACCACAGGTCTGGCAGGGAGCAGGCTCCAAGCTCAGGGTTTCCCCTCTCTCCAGGCCGGCCCTGGGGCAGGGGGCTTGGAGCCCGTGCCAGGGAAAGGAGGCCTGCCCCTGTGGGTCTTCGGGGCTGGGCCGGGCAGGGCCAAGAAACTGCCAGGGGGTGGTCCTTCTGGCTGGCGGATGCTCACCCCAAAGAGGCAGAACCGTGGCAAAGAGTCCCTCTGGGGCCACCCTTGTGCCTTGGGGCCTTTGGGGCACCAAGTCCCTTCGGGCAGCTGCTGCCAGGGAGGGGCAGCGATGCCGACCCACCAAGCCCTTACCTAGGCAGGGGTGGCCTGGCCTGGCCTGGCCTGGCCAGTCTGTGGCAGCCTCCAGGCTAGCTTCCTGCAGTGCTCCCTTTGCAGGGCTGCCCTGGAGGGCGGTTTGGGGGCTGCGACTTGTACAAAACGTGGTGGCCAGCCTGGGAACCCAGGCTCCATTTGGATGCCAGGAAGTACTTCCTGGCAGCTGGGGCCTCCCAGGGTGTGGAAGGGGCTTCCGTGGGAGGTGGCTGAGGCCCCAGCGGTGAGGGTGCTCAAGGATAGGCTAGACAAGCACCTGGTCTAGCCAGGACGGGACGGGGGTGGGAAGGCCGAGGGTCAGGCAGGGGTGCTGAAGCCTGGCCGTGTCACCCCACCTGTGCGCCTCTATGCGATTTGAGAAGGTGCCGCTGATGGCTGCTCTCTGTGTCCAATTTAGCAGCCAATTTTGGATCCACCTAATAGTTTTTCCATCTAGCCCACTTTTTGCTAATTTGCTTATCAGGCTGTTATGGGGCACTGTGTTGAGAGCTTTCCTAAAAGTCAAGGTAGATTATGTCCCCAGTGTTCCCTCTGTCCATTTGGGAGGTTACCCTGTCAAAAAATTAAATTGGCCTGACTGGTTTTATTTTTAATAAACCTATGTTGGTTTTAATCAATCAAGCATCTTCTTTGAGATGCTTGCAGACTGATTTTTTAATTTTTGCTCCAGGACTTTCCAGGGATTGATGTCAGACTAACTGGTCCGTTGTTCCCAGGTTCATCTTCTGAAGATGGGGACAACATTAGCTCTTCTCCAGTCATCTGGCACTTCTGTTTTCCAAGATTTTTTGAAGATAATAGCCAGGAGTTCCATGAGTTCCTCCTCTAGCTCTTTTATGATTATGGGATGGTGTTCACTCAGCCTGAAGATCTGAACTCCATTCCTTAACCATTTGTCTGTCACTCTTAAGCTGCCATCTCTCACTTTCACCTTATACTTACTTTCTGTTATGGGAGAAGACTGAGGCAAAGTAGGAATTGAGCGCCTCTGCCTTTTCCTTGGCATCCGTTATCACCCTGCCACCCACTTTAAGTAGCTGGATGCCTTTCTCTTTCATGCCTTCTGTTTTGAATGTATCTGAGCATTTCCTTGTTGACCTCAGCATCCCTTGGTAGTTGCAGTTCGTTTCCTGCGTTAGCCCTCCCGACGCCGCCCCTGCAAGTCCTTGCTCTTGGTCTGTGTGCTTCCCTTGTGGCCTGGCCGGCTTCCACCTCCTGCCCATGTCCTTTTTGCTTTCAGGTTTCCACTTCACTTTTTGTGCAGCCACACGGACTTCTTCTGTTGTCCTCTACACGTTTCTTGTTGGAATTGTTCATAGCTGTGCTTGGAGAATCTTTTTCAAGATTTCCCACCCCTCTTGGACGCCTTTTCCCCTAGGAGTGAGTTGCCCTGGCACCTCCCTTATTATTGCTCTGAGCTGGCTTTCTTGAAGCCCAGGGTATGTGCTTGGCTGCAGTTACCCTTTGCCTCCTTTATCACTGAGCATTGAAGTCTCACATGGTCACTTTACTCCAGGTTGCCTATGGCTGCTATTTTGTCCACCAGGCCACCCCGTTAGTATTAAACTGAGGACAGCCATTCATCTTGTTCCTTCCTCTGCCACCTCCTGAGGGAAGTTGTCGGTAACCATGGCAGGAACCGCTTGGAAAAGCCACGTCTGGCAGAAATGGTCTCCCAGCATGGATCAGGGAAACGGTGGTCCCCCATCATTTCTTCCTGGACATGCTGCCAAGTTGCTTTTTGAAGGTCGCATCCTTGTTCCTTTTGACTGGATGCTTCCTTTACATTAAGCCCGATGCTTTCGATGGGGCTACTAAGTTCCTCTTCTTGAACTTCTGTGCAGACGTCTCTTTTACATACACTGCAACTGCACCGCCCTTTTTGTCCTACTTTTCTTGAACGGGTTGGATTCATCAGCTCCAGGGTCCCAGTCATGCGAGTCATCCCGCCAAGTTTGCTATTTCAGGTGACGGCACGTCCCGCTGCATGTCTCCCTCCCCGTACGTCTCAGCTGAAAGCCTTCCTGGTGAACTTTTCCATGTAGGGGCCAGACGCACGCTTTTTGTTCCGTGTGAGGTGCAGCCCGTCTGTGGCCGATAGTCCATCTTCCAGGAACTTCGGCTTGTGGTCCCAGAATTCAAATCCCTCTTTCCAGCACCACCATTGTGGCCAGGCATTCACCCGAAGGGTTTCCTTTCCCTATCAATTCCTCTTACTGACAGGACTGGGAGAAGACCCTCTGGGCCTCAGTGGTTTTGATGTTTTCCCTAGAGCTTCAAAGTCTGATGTTATTTCATCAAAACTTCTCCAGACAGTGTCATTAGTCCCCACGTGGACGAGGAGGAAGAAGTATATGTCTATGGGTGTAGGAGATGCATGAACATATTGGTTATATCTTACATATCTTGGATTTAGCATAATCTTACTTGGATAGGTTAATCGACCATGCTAAAAACAGACTGAGTTGCAAAGACATAACCAGAACGGCATGCAGGTAGAGCCGTAATAAAACAACAGGGACTGCAATGCGCAGGAGAAGCTGGTCGCTGCGCACACTGATCCTGGGCTTTCCTTCACGCCTGGCTCCCCCTGCGATTCTTGCAAGTGCTGCTGAACTGCTGGTGAGAAGTGCCCCAGCGCCCACGAAGGCAGCTGGGAGCAGAGCTGCTGCAGTCAGTCCAACCTCTCCAGAGAATCCGCCCCAGCCCCGGATGGCTGCGGGGCTCACACGGCCCTGCACCCGCCCGGCAGGTCCACCACGTGTGGCCGGGGGAGCAGTAGCCTGCTTCTGATTAAGGAGAGAGAAAAAACACAGAGAGGCGTACGTCCAGAGTTCTGGAAACTCACATCCCTGGTAACAAAATTTATTGTCATGATTGAAGACAAGAAGTTTTATAAATGTACTCTAGCAACTTGGTGATAAAATAGTAAATAACGCATCTTTGTAGTTTATCGTCATTTGGAACAGAGCAGGACATTGGGAATGGCTGCGCTGCGCTGTCCTGGCAATCCAACAAGGAGCAAATCCCATGCCACCGAGACCCTTCCCAGTGCTCGGGAAGCAGTTCCAGAAGGTCCGCAGTACCCCCACGTCGCTGGCACAGCAGCCTCCGACATCAAGAGAAAAAAACAAGATTGTGGTGGAAAGCAGCACATTCATTTCAAAGCCCACAAACAGACAACCCACCAGATCAGATGCCTCCGAGGAAAGGAGCAGTTCCTTCAGCCGCTCGCCTCGGGGCGGCTCAGCGCACCAGCAGGCTGTGTTTTGGCCCATCCACCCTCTCCAGCTTCTCAAAATGCTTCCTGGCATTCCTAATATTGATCAGTGTTGCTGCAGAAGCTGAAAGAGAAGGTGAGGAAGGCAGCAAAGAGTCATGTCCCAGGGCATAAAATGGGATTCTGCACCAGCCACGGGAAGTGGGGATGGCCCGAACCCCGAAAAGCCCAGGGAAGCAGAACGGCCGACACGGTGCTGGAGGAGCGTTCCCTGCACTGCTGTTTGGCCACCGGCCAGGCCAGGCCGGCCCAGACCCCGGCCCGGCCCAGCCCGCCGAGCCTCAGCCCTTGCCCCAGGCTAGAAAGAGAGAAAAAGCAGGGCGCTTTCCAACTTACGGATGGAAGGATCCGACATGACGACCATCACGTAAGTATTTGACGTAAAAATATCGATGAAGGCTGCAAAGTTGGAGTTTCTGACCTCCATGCTCTGGAAAGACGCAGCCAATTTACTGGGGGAAGGGAGAATACATTAATTTGCCCGCAATGCACCACTGGTGTGTTCCCAGCCTCGCAGCCCCCACGCCCCGCTCACACACCTGCCCCGCCGGCTCTCCCATCTGACCCAAGCGGAACGCAGCCTCACTGGAGAACCAGGCGAAAGCTAGCAAAGCCCTCTTCACGACCAGTTCTACTGCCCCTCTCAGCAAAGGGACAGGCGCCCCATGTGGGCAGAGCAGAGGCATCCCACCCCTGTGCAATGCTGCCATAAGGGCGCTGTGGTACTCGGTGCGCAGCCCACTGCTCTGCAGATGGGACTGCGGAGACGCAAAGACAGCGCACCCATGGCAGCACCGGAGCCTCTGCCTCCAGCAGCAGTTACGCCAAGGCAACCACACCGGGGGGGGGGGGCGGGGGGGGCATGCTGCGCCCTGCCCACACAAGAGCGCCCGAGGGGCTTGGCCTATACTATCCTGGGACACAAATGCTGGCCAGGTGACGCCTGCCCACGGAGGGTTGGGGGGGAGCACAGCTCCAGCTCTGTGCTGAGCAGAGGCAAGATGTGGCCCTGAACAGGATCACAAGCAGGCGCGGCACTTGCACGTGGGGGGAAGGAGGCAGCAGGACGGGGACAGGCGGGCTTCCCGGGAGCTGACCCACACCGCCCTCCAGGCCACGCAAGCTGGGCAGCAGAGTGGCTGCCAGGCCCTCCCCCACCTGTCCTCCCTCTCCCCTTCTGCTCCAGCCCCCTGCCGCTGTGGGTGTGTGTGGGGGGGCAGGGAGTCTCTCACCTCCCGCCCCACAGCTGGTCAATGGGGAGAAGCAGACAGGGTGCCCTGGGACTCCACGGGAGACGTGCGGAGCGGCTGGGCCCCCGTGGGGCTGGAGTGCTGCCCCCGGGCCAGTGAGAGGAGCCGCCCCACTGCCCTTTCCATCTCGTCACGGTCAGGCCCCCTCGCACCGATCCAGGTCAGCGTCTGGTCCAGAGCCGCTGTGGGCCAGGCCCGCACTCACCTGCAGCTCAGCTTGAACTGTTTAATGATGTTGCTGATCTTCTCAAACCTGTGGACATCACGCTGCTCTTTACACTGATAGTGGGAAATCACCTGCAGGAGAGAAGGGGTCAGAAGAAGGGCAGTTGGCACGGCTTCCCAGGCAGACAACCCGCCTGGATAGAGGCTCGAGAGGGAGGCACGGCAAGCGAAGGGCACAAAGGCCGTTCATACGTCCCGGGGTGCCAGCATCTGCCACGTTCTACCCACGACGCCACAAAAAGATCCCTCTGGGATGAGAGGAAATCCCCCCGCTGCGGCCCAGGTGGTGGTGGAGGAGCTCTGCGTTCACCTTAGCAGGCCTTCCTGCAACACAGCTCTGCCTCCCACGGTGCCTTGGGCGCTCGGTCCCGCTTTGCCCCAGGCCTGGGCACAGGCCCCGGGACGCTGCGCAGAACAGAAGAGTCAGCACAAGCACCCACACCACCGTGGGCCTGAGGCGAGGACAAGCAGCTTTCCTCCTGCCGCAAAAGGGAATGACACAGCCCAGTCTCCAGCGGCTTGGAAGGATGAACAAGATCGGCCCTCGTTCGTGAAGCAGCCGCTTCCTCGTTCCTGCCGGGGCCCTGCTGCGCGTTCCATTTCTGGGGCTGAGGGACGGGTGGCCTGGCGAGCCCCTCGCTGTGCTTCCCAGGGCATGGGGAGCAGGGGCGCTGGCTGCTGGGAGGGGGCTGTGGCACACAGGAGGCCTCCTGCTGGGCAAGGGGAACGATTTAAGCCTTGGCATTTCCAGGCAGGGTGGAAAAGCCCGTCAAAACCCCGGAGGGACCGCAATCCTGGCGACATGGACCAAGGGCCTGATGCATCGGGAGGAAGCGTCGTGGGTTCACACACGGCGACTGTGCTGGTCCTTCAGGACCATGTGCCCTGGACCACGCAGATGCGGAGATGGGACAGAGGGACGCGCGCTCACTCGCACCAGAAAAGTGGCTCTCTCAAACAGAAGGACTTCGTCGGCTTCAATGATCTGAGCAAAGTTCCTGAGGTTCATCTCCAGTTGCTGGACATTGGGAATCAGCTGATAGACGATGCTGGACCATGCCTGCTCGAAGAAAAAGCAGAGGGAAGCGCTCAGCTGCTGCCAGCACTGCCCAGAGCCTGGGTGGGATGTCAAGCCTGCCGGGGGGCAGCCCCAGGAGCTGCCGCAAGCGCACGCCGCTCCGCTGAGAGCCGCTGGGTGACTCAGGACATGGGGGGGGGGCGTTCCCTTGGACTGCACTGAAGCCCCCAGGGCTGGGGGAGCCGCTAAGAGGACAGGCGTTAAGAGCGGAGTGCTGGACACGGACTGGCACGCTCCAGGCGTTCTGCTCGACCTTCACAGCCCTCTTGCCGCCGAGCAACTAGGTCTGGGCTTGTGCTGCACGTAAGGGGCAATGAGTCCCCACACATGGCATCCGACACCCACACCTGAGACCTACTCCGGGGATCCTCGTGTTTCCTTCCGTGGTACAGAAGCACCACGCCCTCCAGGAAGCGTAATGGTAACAACTGTCCGCACTACAGAATACAGCTTTCCGGGGCCCAAACCTTTCCTTGACAACCTCCAGGGGAGGAAAACCCCATCAGCATCGCTGGAAGCTTCTTCCACTGCTGGCCAAGCCAACAGCCACCTTCCCTGGCTCCCAGCGTCATGACCGGGCAGCACTCGCGTGTTGCATCGGGCCGATCTGGCCCGGATTTCTCTTGGCCCGGCAGCCAGCAGCCACGGGTGGAAGCAGGGAAACCAAGAGGAGGAGAAGAATGCGCCGTGCTGATTGCCACGCCGACTGCCTGGCACAGGCACACTGTCCTCCCTGGATCTGCCCAAGCCCCCTTTACAGCCCCATGAATTGGTGGCCTTCCCCCGTCCTGTGGGAGTGAATCCCATAGTTCAAGTCTGTGCTGTGTGAAAAAGTCCCTCCTACGATCTGTCCTGGATCCCCCCCAGTCTGCTTCATGAGTAGTAGCTGTTGTTGTTAGTCGCGAAGTCCCATCCGACCCATCGCGACCCCATGGACAACACTCCTCCAGGCCTTCCTGGCCTCCACCATCCCATGGGGTCCACTCAAGCTCACACCCACTGATTCAGTGACTCCATCCAGCCACCTCATCCTCTACCCTCCCCTTCTTCTTTTGCCCTCAATTGTTCCCAGCATTAGGCTCTTCTCCAGTGAGTTCTTCCTTCTCATTAGGTGGCCAAGTATTTGAGTTTCATCTTCAGGATCTGGCCTTCTAAAGAACAGTCAGGGTTGATCTCCTCTAGGACTGACCGGTTCGATCGCCTTGCAGGCCAAGGGACTCGCAGGCGTCCGCCAGCACCACAATTCAAAGCCCTCAGTCCTTTGGCGCTCAGCCTTCCTTATGGTCCAGCTTTCACAGCCATACATTGCAACTGGGAAAACCATAGCCTTGGCTATACGCACTTTTGTTGGCAGGGTGATGTCTCTGCTTTTTAGTATGCTGTCTAGTTTGCCATAGCTTTCCTCCCCAGGAGCAAGCGTCTTTTAATTTCTTGGCTGCAGTCCCCGTCTGCGATGATCTTGGAGCCCAGGAAGATAAAATCTGTCACTACCTCCATTTCTTCCCCATCTATTTGCCAGCATGTGATAGGACCGGATGCCATGATTTTAGTTTTCTTAATGTTGAGTTTCAAGCCAACTTTGTGCTCTCCTCCTTCACCCGCATCAAGAGGCTCTTTAGTTCCTCTTCATTTTCTGCCATTAGTGTGGTATAATCTGCATATCTGAGGTTGTTGATACTTCTCCCAGCAATCTTAATTCCAACTGGTGATTCATCTAGGCCCGCCTTTCTCATGATGTGCTCTGCATGTAAGTTAAATAGGCAGGGCGACAGTATACAGCCTTGCCAAACTCCTTTCTCAATGTTGAACCAATCAGTGGTTCCGTGTCCAGTTTTCACTGTTGCTTCTTGACCCACATATAGGTTTCTCAAGAGACAAATAAGATGGTCTGGTACTCCCATCTCTTGAAGAACTTGCCACAATTTGTTGTGATCCACACAATCAAAGGCTTTAGCATAGTCAATGAAACAGAAGATGTTTTTCTGGAACTCCCTAGCTTTCTCCATGATCCAGCATATGTTGGTAATTTGACCTCCAGTTCCTCTGCCTCTTTGAAATTCTGCCTGTAGTTCTGGTAGTTCTCGGTTCACATACTGCTGGAGCCTAGCTTGTAGGATTTTGAGCATAACTTTGCTAGCATGTGAAATGAGTGCAATGGTGCGGTAGTTTGAACATTCTTTGACTCTGCCCTTCTTTGGAATTGGAATGTAAATTGACCTTTTCCAATCTTGTGGCCACTGCTGAGTTTTCCAAATTTGCTGGCATATTGAGTGTAGCACTTTTACTGCATTGTCTTTTAGGATTTTGAATAGCTCAGCTGGAATACTGTCGCCTCCACTAGCTTTGTTGTTGCTCAGACTTCCTAAGGCCCATTTGACTTCACATTCCAGGATGTCTGGCTTGAGGTCAGTGACCACCCCATCGTGGTTATCAGGGGCATTAAGCTCTTTCTTGTATAGTTCTTCTGTGTAATCTTGCCACCTCTTCTTAATCTCTTCTGCCTCTGTTAGGTCCCTGCCATTTTGGTCCTTTATTATGCCCATCTTTGCATGATATGTTCCCTTCATATCTCCAATTTTCTTGAAATGATCTCTGGTCCTCCCTGTTCTATTGTTTTCTTCTATTTCTTTGCACTGTTCATTTAAGAAGACATTCTTATCTCTTCTAGCTATTCTCTGGAATTCTGCATTCAGTTGGGTGTATCTTTCTCTTTCTCCCTTGCCTTTCACTTCCCTTCTTTCCTCAGCTATTTGTAAAGCTTCCTCAGACAGCCATTTTGCTTTCTTGCATTTCTTTTTCTTTGAGATGGTTTTAGTTGCTACCTCTTGTATAATGTTGCAAACCTCTGTCCATAGTTCTTCAGGCATTCTGTCTATGAGATCTAGTTTCTTAAATCTATTTGTCACCTCTACTGTATATTCATCAGGGATATGATTTAGGTCATACCTGAGTGGCCTAGTGCTTTTCCCTACTTTCTTCAATTTAAGCCTAAATTTTGCAACAAGAAGCTCATTATCTGAGCCACAGTCAGCTCCTGGTCTAGTTTTTACTGACTGTATAGAGCTTCTCCATCTTTGGCTGCAGAGTACATAGTCAATCTGATTTCTGTGTTGACCGTCTGGTGATGTCCATGTGTAGAGTCGTCTCTTGGGTTGTTGGAAAAGAGTGTTTGCTATGACCATCGTATTCTCTTGACAAAATTCTACCAGCCTGTGCCCTGCTTCATTTTGTACTCCAAGGCCAAACTTGCCTGTTATTCCGGTTAACTTCTGGATTCCTACTTTAGCATTCCAGTCCCCCATGATGATAAGGACATCATTTTTTGGTGTTAATTTGGTGTTAAAACCGGTCAACTTCAGCCTCTTCAGCACCAGTGGTTGGGGCATAGACTTGGACTACTGTAATGTTGGTTTGCCTTGGATTCGAACTGAGATCATTCTGTCATTTTGGAGATTGGATCCCAGTACTGCTTTTCCTACTCTTTTATTGACTATGAAGGCTGCTCCATTTCTTCTGAGCGATTCTTGCCCGCAGAAGTATACCTGATGGTCATCTGAATTAAACTCACCCATTCCTGTCCATTTTAGTTCACTGATTCCTAAGATGTTGATGTTCAGTCTTGTCATCTCTTGTTTGACCACATCCAGCTTGCCTTGATTCATGGATCTTACATTCCAGGTTCCTATGGAGTACAGATCTTTGCAGCATCGGACTCTCCTTTCACCACCAGATACATCGGCAACTGAGTGTCCTTTCGGCTTTGACCCAGTTGCCTCATTCTTTCTGGCGCTACTAGTACTAGCCCTCCGCTCTGCCCCAGTAGCATATTGGACACCTTCCCACGTGAGGGGCTCATCTTCCGGCGTCATATCTTCTTGCCTTTCGGAACTGTCCATGGGGTTTTCATGGCAAGGGTACTGGAGTGGGTTGCCATTTCCTTCTCCAGTGGATCACCTTTTGTGAGAGCTCTCTGCTATGGCCTGTCCGCTTGGGTGGCCCTGCACGGCAGAGCTCCTAGCTTCATTGAGCTACGCAAGCCCCCTTGCCACAACAAGGCTTCATGAGTGGACCCCCCAATTTCCAGCATTAGAAGACAGACAGAAAAATGTCTCTCTGTCTATAAAGTTATGCTTGGTGTGAGAAAAGCAGCCGTCTGTCACATCCGTGCTTACTCTCTTTTTCTAAGCCAAGGTGGGGACATTGTAAGCCAGACTGTCTGGATGGCCACAATTCCTGCCCTCCCTCAGAACCGAGGAGTGTTACAGGCCAAACAGATGGGCGCCTCCCAGTTCTCCACCAAGCCACTCCAAACACGGCAACTTTCCCTCCCAGGAGAGCCCCTGGATCATCCGGGTTGCCCTTTTCTACATTTCCTCCAGGGCTAGAACCTGTTTTTAGGGCTATAGTGACCAGAACTGCCCATCGCCGCAGGATTTAAAGGTCACCAATGCTGAGAGGTGGAGTGGCTGCTGCAGAAAAGAAAAGAGGAAGAGGGACCTTCCTCTAGTCCTGAGTGGAGCTCCAAACCCGCCCCCCCCAACTGTCGCACTGACATGTCTGCATGGCAGCCCATCCTGCACTCAAGGAGCCGAGCCTGCACGGTCCCCGCACACTCCGTCAGGCAGGGAGGGGCAGGCGAGAGCCAGGCAGGTAGCTGGCGGGCAAGCTGGGCCCACATGCCAACCGCTGCACCCAACTGGGTCTCGTGTGGGGAGGGGGGTCAGCCCAGGTGGGCGGAGAGGGGCGGCACTGAGGGACTCGCCTTGTAAAGCGTCTCATCCCAGATGGATGTTCTAAAGCAGGCACATTCCAGGGGGCGGGACAGGCGCTTCAAATCCTCTTCCCGTTCTTTGAAAATCTAAGGAGGGAAAAACGTGACAAAAGCCAAGTAAGGAAAAACCTCGCTGAGGAAACCGCTTGATGCCCCCTTTGGAAAACCAAGACTAGAAAGTCATGGGGGGGGTGGGAGGAGTGCCAGGAGATTGGGGGCTGCCGGCCAGACCTGCCAAGGGAGGAGGAAAATGGGAGGCGGAGCTACATAAAACAAGCCACATTCCAGACTGCTGAGGAAACTGCAGTCTCAGTCTGCATCTCTAAATCCCCACAACTGAGAAATACATAGAAAAATAGAAACAGAGCGAGTCAGAAGGGGCCTCCCAGGCCATCTAGTCTGACCTCCGGCACCAGCTGGCTTCGCTCACGACATGCCCACCATGTGGACTTCCAGCATATCCTTGAACACCCGCACCGATAGGGCCTCAGCGACCTCTTGTGGAAGCCCATTCCACACCCTCGGGGTCCTGACTGTCAGGAAGTGCTTCCTGGCATCCTGGCATCTCATGGTGCATTCCAAGAGCGAGGAGAATGGGGGTGTGATGGGCTTCTCCAGGCCAAAAGATGCTGAAATCTGGGGAAACACGGCAGCTCATGAGGGCACCCCAAGGTATAGGAGAAAGGGTGCTCTCGGATCACCTGCAGCTCCAGATTACCCCCTGAAGCAAGGGCAACCGTGTCCCCATGCTTGACTGGGAGCGGCAAACGCACAGCCCTTGCCATTCCTGTGGGCCTCCTACCAGATCGCGCTGGTCCTCCTGGACCAGGTCCATTTTGTGCACTAGGCAGAAGATCTTCGCATCCGAGGAGTTCTGGAGGATGGCCTCTAGGCACGACTGGTAGTAATGCATGTCCTTCTCCAGCTCTCTGCTTTCCACATCGAACACGTAGATCAGAACCTCCACGTTGCGGAAGATGTTGTCACGCTGGCTGGTGAAGTAGTTCTCCATGAAGGTGTCCTGCCTGGGAAGCGGAAGAGCAGCCTGCAGGAGCTTCCTGAGCCCTCCCTGTCGAGGTGAGAACGAGTCTCGGGCTGCCCCCAGCTCCCCCAACTCTGGGCCAGGAACGCTGCCTCTGCCATGTTCCGTCTGGAGGGCAGCCCCCAAGCTACACACTCCAAGGCTCGCCAATTGAGGCCACCCCCATTTTTAGAATGCCCCAGCCTCAGTTTTTTCCATGGGCAGCTCATTTTATTTATTTATTTATTTCTCGATTTATATCCTGCCTTTTTCCTGCCTCCTCTCCTGTCCCCACCCCTACATTCAGTGTTCACTCAGAAAAGCCGCTTCAGATATCAACCCACTGCAGATGGGGAGGGGGGTCCCCCAGGGTCCTCAACTGGCTCTCTGGGGATCCCCAGAAGACTGCGGGGCTTCCCTAGCCCTGCTCCCTTCCTTCCATCCACTGATCAGTCCATGCTTCTGGGCCTTTACAGAGTTTCATTCAGAAAGGCCGAAGGGCCTAATTATCAGCAGTGAGCACTGCAAGCTACAAAACGCGGCATTTCAGGCCCTGTCCCTTCAGCCCCACCCACACCTGGAAGGAGCCCCTCCCCGGAAGAGGAATTGTGCCCCCAGGCTGCAAGAGGCCCTGCAGCCACCCTCCTGCCTGCTTGCGGCAAGGCAAGCCTAAGCCTGTGAGACGCTCTTACCCGCCACAGTCCCACAGGTTTAACACCAAGTTGCCCAGAAATCGAACGTGTGAATGCTCCACATCAACTGGAGAAAAGCACAAGAGCACATGCATAAAAGAAAGATTAGCAGCATAGGGACAAACTGTCAGGAAGGTGGAGAGGAGCCTGGCTGCACAGGCAGGGCGCACGTGGCTCTTACACCTGGGATAAAGAGGAAGAGTGGGGCCTGCATGGACCTCACGGGTGGCTGCACGCAGCCACCACCTCTGCCAGCCCAGCGTAATCCTGCCCCTAACCAGCCCAGCTGCCGTTACCCTTCGCGAAAGCCCTGCTGGGGCTGCAGAGGATCAGATTAATAACCCTGCCCGTGATGACGGTGCTCTCCACCTGCTGAGGAGCAGATGTGTCAGCACAGTCCCTGTCGCTGGGTTTCAGAAGAGCCCTGGCAAGTTACCTGAATTTACCTAGGCCCTTACACTGAGCCAGGCCCCGAGTCCATCTAGCTCAGGATTCTGGACACGACCAGCAGCAGTGCCTCTGCAGGGTTTCAGGCAGAATATCTGCCAGCTCTGCCTGCAGGCACCGGGGAAGTGAACCTGGGAGCTTCTGCATCCAGAGCGGTGTTCACCACCAAGCTCTGGCTCTCTGCACAAAGGGAAGGAAACCAAATTGCTTCACTCTTGGAGCAGCACTCTGGTGAGTGGCAGAGGAACAGTGGATGCTTACTTGTAGCCCCAAGGCGCCGTGTATCTCGTGCGATGTAGTTTGCAAAAATAATCGACCTCATGCTGGTCTTGCCAGACCCGCTCTTGCCCATCAACAGCACCTGTCGGGGAGAAGAGGCGAGGCAATGGCTCCGGGAAGGGGAGAGAGACTCTGCAAGCGCCAGGAAGCACTTGCCCTGGGCCCCCGTCGAGAAAAGAGCAGCCCCCTGTCCAAAAGGAGGACAGCCAGGCCTTACCTTCTTCTTCATGGCTGTGTTCGGCATCCCACACCTGCAGAAATAAGGTGGACTGTCAGCTGCACTGCTCAAAGTTCCTCAGTCACAAGGCTTTGAGTGTCAACACCCACAAGCTGTGGCAATGCTGGCAGCAATGAAGCACTTCCTCTGCTGAGGCAAGGCATGAGTCCTTTCCAAGCAAGCAGCACCTGCAGACCACTCACGGATTTCAAAGCTCACTCTTGAGTTCTGGAAAGCTTGCACCAGAATCGGAAGGGAGTAGCTTATTCTGAGAGGACGCATATGCTATTATCTGCACCAGCATTTGCTGACCTTCGGTCTACACTCACTCACAGCATGGTGGCCTAGGATGTCTCTCCCTCACTTCACGGCTTAGCCAGTGTACAGAGAGGAAAGCAAGGGAGGACAATTTACGTCACACAGGGAAAAAAGCAAGGTACGAAAGCACAGCTTTGGTGTAGGACCAGTTTACAGATAAACTCCTACTGCTGTTGCCCACATGGGGCTTTCAGCTGCACCAGTGCCACAGAACTGGTGCCCTGCAGTTCACCTGGGCACATCACCAGACCAAGAGCCCCTCCGTGGGCCCACATGCAGGCAGGTCCTGCTAGCCAAACCCGGCGATTAGCCCCGGAACTTCTCCTCAGGACCAGGCCCTGATCCATTAACCCACAGCTGAAAAAAACACACACAGCAGTAAGAAGAGGTCCTCCCCTTCCCCGAGGAGGTCACTTCAGAAGATGCTTCCACAGAACACATGTTCCATCACATGTCATGCAACCTGCATCAACACACATAAAAACCTGCAAACACCTAACCAGCAGCTTTCCCCAGGAGTCTCCCAGCCCTACAAAGCAACTTGCAATCTTGGAGTCAGGGAAAGGGGGAGAGCAGCGCACCTTTCCCAACCTGTCGCCCCCCCCCCCGTGAGAAGTGAAGCCACACCTAAGTTCCGGCTACATAGCCCAAACGAGATGCGCAAAGTCAGGATAGGGCACAATCCACTTCTCCTTGAGGGACTGAGCGGCTGGGTCTCATTTCCAGGAGATGGGAAGTCACCACAGCCAAGAGTGTCCCAGAGCAGATGCAGAGTACTTTCCCTCCTTGCCCCGCAGCAGGGACGGAAGGGGGTCTTCTTGCCCGGCAGGCGTCACAAACCCCGGTACTTCTGCTCGGCCGGCCCCGAAGTTCGGTGCTGCCCCGCCTCCCACACCCACCTCTGAGACGAGGCTGACCCGGGGACAAGCCCCACCGCGGCTAGGTCTGTCTGCCCCCTTCCAGGCAGGCAGGCAGGCAGGCTCCCTCACCTCTGGCTCTGAACGGGCCCGCCGGCGGCGGCAAGAGATACGCGCTCCCTCCGCTTGCTCCTGCCCCGCTGCTAGGCCTCAAAGCCGCGGCCTCGCGTACCCCACTCGCCCACCGCGGCCCTCGCCTGCTCCGGCCTCGCCCGGCGCGGGACAGCCCAGCCCACGGCAACACCTCGGGACAATCACGTGAGCAGCCGCTTCGCCTTCCCCGGCCTGCCCCTCCTATCAGGTGACTGGAGGCCGCCTCGGTCGAAAGAGTGCCGGGTGCCTAGAGCGGCTCCGCGGCCGGCCGCCAGCCAGCGCGAAGCGGAGAACGCCATGTCTTTTAAGGGCACGTTGCCCGTCACTTCCAAGGACAGGTGCACTTACCTGGAGGAAAGCCCCGCCGAGTTCTGCGGACTTGCTTCCGAGCAGACACTCGCGGGGCCGCGCTGCATCACAGCTGCGCTCCCCGGCGACTGATCCGTAGCGAGACCCGTGCAGCTCGCGGATCTTCCTGCTTGCTCCCGGGAACGTGCCCTGCAGAGGAGCGGCCCCTGTGGACTCCACGGACTCACGGCGCGCCCGGGGCAGCCGCCGGGCAGCGCAGCGCCCTCCTGCACACGCGGGCTGGCCCCGTCAATCGTTCTCCGCGGCGGCGCCCTCCAATGCTGCAGGACTACAGCTCCCATCGCTCTCCTGCCAGTAGGGCGTGCCGGCTGGGGAACATGGGAGCTGCAGTCTAGCACCTTCGCAGAGCCCCAGCGCGCGAGAGGACGGGGAGGTCTTCCTGCGGTCGTTGTGCCCTCGCTCTCCCGGCGGGGGTCGGGGCGCCTGTTCGCACAGGCATCTGTTTCAGAGCACGGCTCTGCACGACCCTGTGTGGGATCAGCCCCTCGTTTCCCTGCGGGGTCGACTTGCGAGCAAGTCCTCCCGGGAGCGAGGGCCCCCTTCTTCGCGGAGAGGTGAGGGCTGGTGGGGCGGCTTCAGCCGGGGTCTCACCCCTCCTAGCACCCGCTCTGCGCCCAGGAGAGCCCCGCAGGATGACGCGCGCCACGACCCCTTGCACCCCCGGGGACCAGCCGACCCCAGGCGGCTGCCTCCAGCGGCGGATAGCCAGGGGCCCCGGGAAGCTCCGGGGCAGCGCAGGAAGGCGTCTCCTCTGCTGCTGGCATTCGGGGCTACACTGCTTCGGAGCATGGAGGTTCTCTCCGGCAGCCCGTCGAGCGTCGCCTGGTTTGGCCGCGGGGCGTCCTGCACAAGCGTCCGGACAGGGATCGCGAGCGGCCTCGAGCGGGCGGGGGGGGGGGGGGGTAGGAAACCCGCTGCGGCCCTGCAGGAGAAGAGCGCGCCAGAGGACGCTGTCAGTGTGATCTCCCATATGGTCTAGCGGTTAGGATTCCTGGTTTTCACCCAGGCGGCCCGGGTTCGACTCCCGGTATGGGAAATTGCGATTTTTATTTCTCCCGCGCGTCTTTCCAAGCCTTTTCCCTCCGTGCGAAAACCTGGCCGGCCGAGCTCGCCGGCAAGGCGCCGCGGCCGGAGAAAAGGGGTCTCTTGAGGGGTTCGCGGGTACCGCCCGCGCTTCCACAGGCCGGCCAAGGCAGCGGCAGGTGCAAGCTTTGCTCGCCAGGAGGCGCTGCTGCTAATCTGTACGGAGGAGGCGATCCTTCGCTTCGCACGACCCGCAGGGGCACTTTTGTGTAACCCCGGGACTGAGCGCCGGCTTGCGAGCAGCCTTAACCGGGCCGGGGCGTCCCCTGGGGCGCCCTCGCCTCGCTCCCTCTCGCCCATCCCCGCCCCGGACTCGCGTCCCGGGGAGCACAGACGAGGCGTTCTCGCCCCCAGATCTCCAGCTGTTCGGGACCACACCTCTCATCCCTCCTGACAAGTGACCGGGACCCAGGGCCCAAACGCCCCGGGGGCCCCGCCGGTCCGCCCGCCCGGCGTGACACTCCCGAGCCACCCGCATTGCTGCGACGACGCGCGGTCCGCGTCCTGAAACCCACGCGCTGCGTCCTCCCGGAAATCCACGAGCTGCTGGGAACTGCGGAGATCCCCTGCCAGCGCGACGGCCCTGCGGCTGACTCTGGACGGTTCTTTTAGCTACCCACAGTATAACTGCCAGCCTGTGGCGACAGCAGAAGAGGGATCCTGGGGAGGGCAAAGGAAAGGCAAAGCCGGGGATGGTGTGACTTGGTGTCCTGCAACAGCAGGGGGTTGGACCGGATGGCCTTCACGGCCCCGTCCAACTCTGCTACTCGTATTCCATCATTCTAGGGCGTCTGGGGAAGGCGAGCTTGAGCAGAACGTCTATCCTTTAAAGCTCCCATGGGGATCATCCAGCAACAGCGGGGGGGGGGGTCCTTGTTGGCCTTCCCCTTTGTTCTAATTGCCCTCTGGGTCCGGCCCACTGCGCTGAGCCCGACAGAATCCTCGCGGTCCACCTTCCGCACTGCTCATTTTAAAGGCGCAAGGAAGTCGCTGTTCCGGAGAGCCACCCGGGGTCCGTCCGGGCCTGCGCGCCGTTGGGGCGCACTCGCGCACGGGGCCCTTTTCTCGCCAAACTTCCACCGGACCGCCCCTCGAAGAGCGCGCTTGTATTCGTTCCGTTCTTCTCCTTACGCTGTGACTTGAACTCTGCACTCGCTCAGGGGCACTTTCGGCTCGTTGCGTCGGTCGAGTGCCCTGGGAATGACGAACCCAGACACGCCCGGCCGGCCTTGCCCTGCCAGGGACTAGCCGCTTGCGTCGCGCACGCGTTTCCTGCCTCCTTTCACAAAAGCTGCCCCCGCCTCGCGGCGTGACGGGTTGCGGGAGCCCGGCCCGCCTCGCCCGGGGATTGGCCGGGCTCCCGCAGCGGGGGCGCGGCCTCGGGATCAAAATCGTCCCGGCCGGGGAGTTGCCCCTCGTGCGGCGCGTTTGCCTGCTGGGACCCCGCGCGGGAGGAAGGAGGACGGAGCGACGCCCGTCCCTCGACGGCAGGTCGGCGGCGATGGAGGCCGGAGCAGCACGCCGGACAGGTCAGGGGTCCCTCGTTTCGCGGTCTTTCGGGAAAAGTTCCTGGAGGATGTGTCTCTGGAAACTGGCCCTGGCAATTCTAATTTTGGAGAGTTCGTTTCTCGTGGCTGGTGAACGCTCTGATTCCTTTTTAGACAGTCCTGTGCTATTTCCAAGCGTTGATTAATTCAGAGTTTCAGGAGGAGATAACAAATGCCAGGTAGGAACGACCCCAAGGAGAACCCAGGATAAGGGGCTCTCTGGAGTAAGATGCTTCCAGGCTGACCATGAAATAATATTATCGGTTTCATCTCATCAGCACGGGATTCTCTCTTTGGACCGAGGAACCCTCTGCATGCATTACACTTTCAAATGCCCTTTGGCTGTCTGGCAGTACAGCTTCGCACCTTTTTTCCCATTTTGCTTTTGGTGCCTTTTTGTCTTTTGGCTGGGGTTCTGCTGGCTAGAATTTTCTTACCCAGTTTATAAGTTTGGTAGAGAATTGCCCTCGTGAAATGCTTTATTTTTATTATAATGCAAATACCCTTGCTTTCTGCTCTTAGCCTTTGTGAGCACATGGCCTGTAGCATTTTTCCCTTTTGGGAGTGCCCAGCTATTCTGAGATCTCCTTTCCTTCAACCGTGGCTTGCGCCCGCGTCCACCACCCCCTGCCCCCTTGCTAGAAAGGCCTGTGTTCTGGGTGAAACCGCTGCGAGACCTCTTGTCTCAGACCCGCCCCCCCCCACGTGTCAGGTGTTGGCTCTGTTGTTTGCTTTTGAATTTATATGCCACTGAATAACCTAAGCAGCAAACAACCAAATTCAAGACCGGCATTACCATTCCAACTGCCCCTCAACACATACACACACCCCTGCACGAAGCAAGGTGTCCCAGTTTTATTTATTTATTTATTTATTTATTTATTTATTTATTTATTTATTTATTAAAACATTTGCCCTCCCAGCTGCCCCAGCATCTCTCGGTCTGCGGTCTCAGGCTCTGACTCCCACCTTCCTGAAGCTGGTGTCCTGCCGCAGGGAAAGTTGCTGTTCCCCTTTGTGCTTTTGCTGAGCAAGAAGCAATGGGAAACTCCAGGGAGGCATTTCTTCTCTCGGTTTCTCTTCTGTCGGGGGGGTGGAAAGAAACGGATCTTTAGAATGGATGCAGAGATGTCTCTTTCCCTGCCTGGGAGTTGGATAAAACCAGTGTGCACAGAGGTCTCCTCATGTGAGAAATAGAAAAAGAGGAACAGAAAACCAGAGCGAGTCAGAAGGGGTCTCCTGGGCCATCTAGTCTGACCCCTGGCTCCGGCCAGCTCCACTCATGACATGCCCACCATGTGCATGTCGTGGCTCCGGTGGCTCCAAAGGTCCCTCCCGGGCCGCGCTGCTGGCAGTTCTCGCTCTGCTCAGAGGTGTGCAAGCAGCTGCCTGTACACACGTGCCCCTCCGCACGGGGAAGTGAGCGCACGAGGTCCCATTCTGGGAGCAGCTCCTCTGCCGTGCCGCAGAGACAGCCATGCAAGCAGATGGGAAGATAAATGGGGGGGGGGGCATGTTTTCAAAGTGAATTGGTGGGGGTGACTGCAGGGTGGGCGCAGGGCTGCGCTGCATTGGCTCGGTGGTGTCAGCGGTCTCTGATTGTGTGCAGTGGGGGGGAGGCCTTGAGCAGAAGCGGGTTGTGGCTGGAGCAGATATTTGGCGGACCGCCCTTTCCAAAGGCCACATGCCTGGCGGGTCTTGGGAGAGGCAGCTATGGGGTGTTTTTTTTAACATATATATTGTTATTTTTGTATTATATTTTATGTTGTGAGCCGCCCCAAGGCTTCGGCGAATGGGACGGCATAGAAATGTTTCAATAAATAATAAATAAATATAGCCTGGCACTGCAGCAGGCTGAGGAAGGGTTCCCCGGGCCCTGTGCCGGCTTAGGCTCTTTACCTGCCCTTCCTGCAGGGGAGCCCTCCCTCGCTCCGAAACCTGCGCAGGCTTGGTCCCAGGCTGCAGCTGCCCCAGACGTGGGGTGTTGCGCAAGCTGAGGACTGCCCCCGAGGCATGGCAGATCCCAGTCCCATCTCTGGCCTTCTGTGTGTCTCAGGAGCACTGAGCTGGGCCCCTCCTCTGGCTGTGCACAGCGCCCTAAACGTGCAGCAGAAACTTGGGGTGGCCTTTGGAGGGTTCCCGAAGCCTGGCTGGCAGGAGCAGCCGGCATGAGCAGGTCGAAGGGGCTCCACACTTCTTACGCCTCCCAGCCCAGTGGAGCGGGTGGGCGAGGGACGCCTCTCCCCCAGGCAGGGCGCACACCTGAGACGTCCGTGTCCCTCTGCAGGGCTGTCCATGGACTACCTGGAGGACTTCCTGATGGAGTTTGACCAGGTGGTTCAGGAGTTCGACAAGGGGGAGCATTCCCAGTACGAGCAGCACCTGGAGGAGCTGAAGAGCCGGACTCTCCCCGGCACGAGCAGCGAGGAGCTGAAGAAGCCGCCCCCTCCCAGGGTGTACGACAGCGGCATCGATGATTCAGCGAGTGAGGGTGAGTGCCATTCTTTCCATTCGACAGTATGGCGAGGAGGACGTGGAAAAAGACACCCGCTTCCGTCCTCCCACCCCCGACTCCTCAGTGTTGTGGTTGAGGCCGTGAGTTGTGGCAGCCGACTCTTGAATTTGATATGAGTTCCCTTCCAAACCCTTTAAATTGCTCAGACATTGAGCAGGGCTGGTGCAAATCTTTTCATGGCCCTGGGAAGGCCTAAGCGGCTTCTTCAGCCTTACCTGTGACTCACCCGCGCAGCACAGTGTGCGATCCATCACTAGCTGCAGCTGGGCTAACAGGCTTGTGTCCTACCACAAAACATGCTCACGGGGGAAGGGGGGGCGGGTAGGAGTAGCTGCCTGGCTGTCAGGGGCCAAGCCGCAGCGCCCTGGACTGCTGGGGTGAGGGGGCTGTGCCCTGAGCCGGCCGGCCCGTCCTGAGGGTCCTCTCGCTTCTCCTGCAGGCAACAGCCCCTCCCTGGGCAGCAGCCTGAACACGAGCCAGGAGGACCTCGGTTCTTCCGCCCACCCTGCGGCTCCCTACTCCCAAGGTAAGGCTCAGGGGACAGGCTGGGGGTGCGGTGCACGGCCTCGGGGCTGCAGGGGGGCCGCCTGGTGCTTCCCCACGTGCTCTGGGGGAGGGAGCTGCTGGCTGCCCTGGCCTGAGCATTGAATAGCTGCAGAGCCCAGGAATGCTCAGTGCCTTCTCTGTTGTGACACTTTCTGTTTCCACTGGAACATAAAACTGCGGGTGCGGCAGGCCACCTGTCCCAAAGTGCCAGCCCACACCCCCGGTGTGGCGGTGCTCAGCGCCACCAGGCACCGCATTTCAAAGGCTCCTTTTCTACCTTTAAGACAATTGAAAGCTTTATTTCAGGCTCTTCTCTGCACCGAGATCTCAGCCTTTACTCCAGAGCAGTATTGATTTGGACCCGCTAGGCTGAGGTGGTTTACCTGTGCACCTTTTTGTCCCATAGCCAAACTGGGAGATACCCACGAGCTGGAGGAATTCATTGCGGACCTGGACAGGGCGCTGGAAGGTACGTGGGGAGGCCTGGTCCCCGCTTGCAAGTGGCACCTGTGAGCCCAGCGCCACAGAGCTGGGCTCCTCTCTCTGCTTCCTGCCGTGCGGCTGAGGCTTCTGTGGCCCCGCCGGAAACCGTCGTTCGTTCTCCCGCTCTGGGTACTGCAAAACTGACAGTGAAAATACTTGGCTCCTGTGCTGTTTGCTGCCATGTCAAAACAGCTGTTGTAGTAACGACCCAAAAGAGAGGACGAAACCCTAACCCCAACCCCCATTCGGGGTTTCCCCCACTAAAATTGCTGCATGGGCACCGGTTGCCTGGCACTTGCATTCTGCTTGCTCCCTCTGACCGCTTTCTCCCCCTGCCCCCCCCCCCCCGCAGAGATGTGAGCAGCTGGTCCGGCCTGCTCAGGACAAGCCCCCCTGCTGTCCAGCAGGGCACCCGGCTCCACTGTGCCGGCCCACCGCTGCTGGCTCACACACGGGGCCTGCCTCCCCTCCCCTCGGCAGACCCACCGGCCTGGATCAAGACTGGCTGCTGCTCCTGGGAGAAGAAGCCAAGGCCGTCGGACCGCGTGACTTGGACCCCCGCGACGGCGGAGCGCTGAGTGTCACCAAGGAGCCCACCTTGAGTCCAGCTCCCAAGACACAGTTTTGGTTACTTGCCACCTTGGCCACTCCGCTTGGCCTCTGGTTGTTCCCCAAGGCATGGACCTCTTTTAAAAAGCGTTTTAGAACGGACTGGTGGGTGGCAAGGACTGAGAGTCCTCCTTCAGGAGAGCCTGAAAGGCCACAGGTCTGAGGAGCAGCCTTCACCGCAGACCCAGAAGGCGTCCCATGGAGGAAGGAGTTACCCAGCGCTCTCTGGACGGAAGTGCCTGTGGAAGGAGCCTGCTGGTGGCTTCAGGCCGGGCTGAGCAAGCCGGGGGCCCTTCTCCATATGCCAAGACAGTTTAAAAACAAGGCAGAGGCGGCCGGCATTGGCATGGCTCGAACCCATCCCTCCGCCCTGAGCAAAAGGACCCCGTCTTGCTTCCGTGGCCATTGGCTCCCACTGCAGATGCTCCATGCATGCACGAAGCTCCAGGAAGCCTGCACCGCCTCCTCTTTTTAAAGGAAGCGGCCACCTCGGCGTCCCCCCTGGGCTCGAAAAGCGGGGACGTGTCTTGCCTCCTCAGCACGCCTGCTAAACTGCTGGACTGGGGCAGCTCCTCTTCCGCCATGGCTGTGCCATAGTGTGGACATTGTTATATAATGTGCTTTTAGATTGTATATGTAACTATGCAAATAAAGGGAGCTGTTGCCAACATAATCTTGTTTGTTGTGCCCACTTCCAGAAAGGACACTGGTTCTGTTACTGGGCACCCCAAGGCGCACGGCCTACACGTCCACCTCGCGGGGCCCTGCGGAAAGCAAGGCAGCTGCGTGAGGCTGATGTGTCCAAACCAGGGAGCGACCATTCTGTGTGGCTCGGGTATCGCCGTGATCCATGCCTGGTGCTAAGCACCACACTTCAAGGGGGTCGGACAAGTCGGAACGGGCCCAGGGAAGGGCAGCAAAGAGGGCCCCTGCAGGCTGTCCCCGCGTCCACCACACCAGGGGCCCTGCAAGGGGTGACGTGGCCGCATCCCCATGGGAGGGGTCTCGGGTCTGGGCACCACGGTGTCTGTGAGGCCAGCGCCCCGGCCCTCCCGGGGATCGCAGGTCAGCGGGGTTGCGGAGCAGCAGCCGGTGGGACCCCCTCCTCGCACCAGCTGCCGCCTGTCCATGTCTCTGGAGCGGATCAGCCCGAGGCGAGGTCTCATCCCGGCTACGGCAGTGCGCAGGCGCCTCCAGCACTTGGCTCAGCCGCTGAGCCGCAAGCGGTGGGCAGCAGACTGCGCCCGTTCCCCCACCACGGCACCCCGCTTCCTGCAAGGCACGTGGCAGCCCTGTTTGCAGCCGGGGCAGCCAGGGAGTGAGGAGGGGCCCCGGAGCCAGGGCAGGCATGTGCCTCCCCACGTGGGATGAGCTGGCCGGGCGGCACCGTCCTCCCCCTCGTGGTCTCCACCCCCACCTGAGCGTGTGGTTTCTTGTCTGCCTCGAGCCCGGATGCCGTCGCGCTTTGCGCTGCAGTGCAATTTGGTTGCAGCAGGGAGGAAGTGGCTCCCTGGAGACTTGCCAAGGCCACCTTCTCACCAATTCCTATGCCTTTAGTGCCTAGAGGGGATGGAAATCCAGGCACCGAGACTGGTTCACTCCCCCTTCAGCTCCATCCTCTCTATCGAATCACAGGATGGTGGAATAGCAGGGTTGGAAGGGGCCAGGAAGGCCACTGAGTCCAACCCCCTGCTGTTGCAGGACGCCACGTCACACGAGATCCTGGGTCCCATCGCCGTGCTGCTCTCACCGTCAGGAAGTTCTTCCTGATATCCACCTGGAACCCGGCTTCCTGGACCTTGAGCCCAGTGTTGCTTCTGTGTCCTGCGGTCGGGGATGATCGAGACGGGAGCCTTGCCCTTCCGCTTGACCGCAGCCTTCGAGGCCCTTCTGGAGAGCGACCTCCTCCTTCCCTGCCGCCTTCTCTTCTCAAGGCTGGGCATGCCCAGTTCTCCCAGCCTCTCCTCAGCGGTTTCCTTTCCAGTCCCTGCATCTCCCTCAAAGATGGCTCCCTGCAAAGGGGCAGTGGGAGCATCTTCTCTGTGGTGGGGCTCCTGGACCGCCGTGCAGGCTGGATGCCCTTCCCTCCCGCTCTTCCGTGCCAGCAGGGGCTGCTTCCTGGCCCAGCCACGTCGAAAACGCCGCACCGGTCTTGTTTCGATTAGTCTGCTGCTTTTACCTGCTGTTACTGGGATGCCGTTGGGTGATTGCGTTGTATTGTGTTGCGTCTTATTTGGGTGTTAGTAGGATGGTCGACAAGACTTAAATGAATAATTTTGAGTGCAGAGCAAAGATGATAATATTCCAGTTTGTCCCTCAGTCTCATCCAAAAGCCCCGATTCAAAGGGGATGGGACGGGCATGAGCGAGCAAGCCGGCGTGGGGCTGACTGCTCACTCTGCCTGCCACCGCGCGACTTCTCCGGGCCCGCAGGGGCAGCCCCCCAGCCCCTGGCCCCCGTTCCGGGGGGGAGCGAGTGCACCGCGGCCGCCAGGACACGGCTCTCGCGCATCCCTCCCCAGGACAGCCACAGCTGCTGCCAACCTGCACCAGGGCACCTTCCTCAGGCAGGGCCAGGGGATATCTTTCGATGTATCTATTTAAAATATTTCTGTGCCGCCCATTCCATCAACAGCACCCCAGGGGGTGGGCAGCACAGGACCCCATGGCCTGGCAAGGGGTCCCTGCACGCCACCTCTTGCGCAGGGGCACCTGCCTGGCCGGGCGGCCCATGCTGAGCGCCTCTGCGACGGGAAGCGCCAGCCTGCGGAAGCGCCTCTCCGAGCCTGCGGTGGGGGAAGTCGGCAGCGCCTCGTAAAATGTCCGCGCACCACCGTGTCCTCTCGCAGTGCTGTGCAGGAAGGGACCCATGGCCCCCCCTCCCCCGCCTGGCATTTCCCCTTTCACTCAGTCCGGTGGGAGTCACACGATTCCTCTCCAACCAGCCCTCAGGACTTCGCCTCTGGGAGAGGCCGCGACCCGGCCGGGGAACTCCACCAGGAATTGGCCCTTCCGCAAGTTAGTTCCGTGGGGAATTGCCAGATGTCCCTCGTGTATTCCAAGCAAGAGCGGTTTATGCGCTCTACTTGCGGGGCTCCATGGTGTGAGGGACACCCGGGACAATGCCGGCCAGCACGCATGGCAGCGTCTCCGTCAGTCCACGTGCTCTTGCACAGGTTCCCCAGTCCTTAGATCGCCTGCAGGGGTCCTTCTGCATGAGCCCCCTTTAAAGGAGAGAGAGAGAGACGTATGCCTGGCGCTGGCATTATGTATGATTTGGCACCAGGTTAAAACCTGTTGATTTTCTCACCATCTTGACTGTTGACTATATTATTTGGTTTGACATTGGCTTTTAAGCTAGTTATTGGTACAGGTGGAATAGATGTTTAATTGATTGCTTATTATGATGCATAGTTTTGGTTATTGATTTGTGCATACCTTATGGTAGGTGTGTTTGTTTTAAATCTATTTTTAGATTTAATGTTACATCATACATTGTCTTAATAGAATTCTGTGCCCTGTTCTGAGAGTATTGCGCTAATCAAACGGTACAGAAATGCCTAAATAAATTATAAGCAGGAAAGGGGTGGCAGGCAGCCCGGATCACGGAGGCCAAGGCACAGCCTGCCTCTGGTCTCCTGGCAGACCCACTCCGAGCTGCACGTACCCTGCGGTGCTCCGAACTTTCTCGAGTTGGAGCCTGCCTGGGAGAACCCCCCCCCCCCATCGCTGGCCTCCTGCCCAGACCCTTGGGGTGGCTGCACCTGCCATTCACACAGTGCCCAGAGTCCGAAGCCGCAGTGCCCAGCGCGGAAGTTCTCCTTGGCAGTGCCCCTTTCTCTGGGATTACTCGGGCTTTGCAGCCCTCCTTCCCCTCCTGGGACAGTGACCTCATCCCCAAACCATCCAGGGACACATCCCTTCCCTCTCCCAGCCGGTCACTTCCCTGCATTGTTCCCCAGCCATTGATGGGCCACGCAGGGCCAGGGCCTCAGCCACCCCCCCAGCAGTTTGTGGTGGCGGTGGGGCTGGCTGGGTAGGGACAGCGGCCGTGCAGGGCAGCCTCCGGCCACTTGGACCGAGGCGGGCCCTTCTTCGAGGGCCTGATGCGCTGGCCTCCTCCAGGAAACCCACGCAGTATTTCAGGCGCGGGAACACCGGCCTGCACTCTGTAGTCTTGTCCGGGGTCTCTTGCCTCTGAACGGGCTTGCAATGCTTGCCGAGACGATGGCCGTGGGAAAACAGGCAGCCGCTCATCAGGTGCAGCCCGTCCTCATACAGAGCGACAGCGGTGGGGAGCCTTTCCAGGGCAGTGAAAAAGCTGTCCAGACGAGCAACGGGAGGCTCATGCCACTGCCTCCAGGCAGCAGACCATGGTCACTTGGCCAGAGCAGGTGGGCCAAGAGGGCCGGGGGGCCTATTCTCACGAGCAGAGCCCCCCGCAATGCGGCTGGGGCTCCCGGCGACATCCCCCTCCCGGCGGACCCTGCTCCAGCCATCCCTTCTGGTCTCCTTGCCGCAGGCCTGCCCAGCCTCTTTGCCTGCCCCAGCCTATGGGGGCCACCGGGAATGTGGGGCTGGCTGGCTGGTTTCCGCTGGTGATCACTTTTCCAAACAATTGCTATTGCTTTATGTTTTGCACTTTTGTTTTCTTGTAAGCCAGCTAGGGAAGGGACACCTTCAAGGATGGTTCATACATGCTGAAATAGCACGTTGTCATTACGTCCCGCCAAGCAACCTCCAGCTTGTGGCAGCCCTGTAACCGAAGGCCCCCCGGGGGCCCTGGCCTTGCAGCCCTTGCAAGCTCGAGGCTGGGCCTTGCTGGGCCTCCTCGTCTTCCGCCCTTCTCAGCACATTCAAAAATCGAAGTCTTGCCAAACGAGGAGAACAAAAAGGAGCACCCAATGGCCTGCAAGAAAGCAAGCACTGATGCCGGGACGGCCCTCCTCCCCAGTTCTCCGAATCCACACAAAGCAGGAAAGCCGGGGGCTGGTGAGGCAATCCGAGGACCCGCGAACAGCGGAGTATTCAGCAGGCGTGCCTCTTTCCGTCTGGCTTCAAGGCAAGTGTAGGAAAGCTCTCCCTGCTCAAACTGGTATTTTCAGGAAGTGAGGCAAAGAGCATTGACAAAACATGGCTATTTTAGGAGCGACCTGAAAGCTAAGAAGTCATTGGGTGCAGATAACATCCACCCAAAACTTCCCACAGAAAGCAAATGTGAACAGGCAGAGGTTCTAGGAAAAACGAGTAAGGCCCAAGAACAGCCTCTGCAGCAGAAGATCAGCGAGTGCCCAGGGAGACGCAACGTTACGAAACGGGATCTGGAACACCAGCAGCCAGTTAGCTTAATGCCTCTTCTGGATAATTGGTGGAAGGTCAATTAAAATATGAAATAGTTTGTACATTTTAAAGATAGCATATCAAGTACGTAGACGGAGTCAGCGCAGCTTCTACACAGGCGAGTCTCGTCTCACGCCCCCTTCAGAGTCGCTTGGGAGAGCCGCCAAGGACCGGGAGGCAGGGCCTGCCGCTCACGGTTCCTGTGCGTGTTTGGGAGGCTTTGGATAAAGTGCTTTGCCAACGGCTCCTGAGCAGGCCGGGCAGCCCCCAGTCCCGGGGAAGGAAAGGGCCTCTCGGGCCCCGAAAAGGGGCGGAAGGGAGAGCGGGGGGTGCG